GGGGGGGGGGGGGTTGAGGAAGCAGGCGTCTGACCAGACCCGGGCTACCGCTCTTCTTGTTACGGAGGATTGTGTATCCCAACCTACCGTACACGAGGTACGAAACCATACCCCAACCCCGGTGATAACGATGTTAACAAGAGTGTCGCTGGGGGCGATGTTTTTCGAGAGGGGTGTACAATCGTGTTGCAGCATGGGTGACTAAGACTAAGTACAGGTCCCGGGAGCCATCGATGGTATCTGGCAACCACGGCACCCGAAATCCAGGCGGGTGATCGCAAGGAGGGCCGGTAGCAGTGCCTGCAACGATTTGTTGCTGCCGGGGGTTAACAACAAGGGGAAATGAGTAATCGCAAGCACACGGCAGCTCCACACACAAATGTCTTCGCTTGCCAACCAGTAGCAGCACCCAAGGATGGACGCCATCACGCCATTCCACGCCTATATTCGCGAAGTACGGCTGTCCATCACACGTTCAAGTGAAATAGTTTCCTCGTCCCCCTTTCCCAGATGAAGCCTAACCCTTTGGAGTTTTTTTTTCTACGACCAGCTCAAGGAGGTCATCAAGAGCTTAGAGGTGGACAGAACGCAAGAGATGGTTCTCGTTACAGCAGCGTCCACACCACGACGAGGCTCGTGGACAGAAGAGGGCGTGGGCAGTCCCCATTTGTAGGCCTTGTGTTTTGAAGTGATTTCCTGGTGCGAGCTCTATTAATTGTTGATTGATGCATCCCTACCCTGAGTCTTGGCATCCTTCGGACCTTTTTCTTGTTCTGGTATAATAGCATGAGCCGGTCGCCCCGGCTATTTGGTATCGTCGCAACCTTCTAGCACCCAGGTCTTGGGTCCGATTCCCGGCGTAAGCGAGCTTGCAAAAATTGAGTTTTTCTGTCACTTCCGTCCCTGGTCGTGGAAAGCGCTAGTTCGTGAAATACTCTCAGGGAATCGTCCTAGCACTCTTTTCGCCAAAAATCGAAGGCAAGCAACGCACGAGGGGTGGTAGCGGGCCTCAATGGGGGGGAACCCTTATCATTCTGCGTGACCTCGGATTGGTGAACCCCTAACACCAGGATCCTTGTCTTGTGCGCGCTCCGTGAGGATCTCGAATCGCTGAAGCTCGTGATGTGAGTGTCTGGTCAAATGAAATGTTGCGTTTTGATTTCCCGCCAAGTAAGAGGTGGTCTTCAACAGCAGCTCAATTCTAGAACAATGCCGTCAACCATAAAATTGTTGAGCACCACCCCCAAAGCGAACAGGTTCCTGCAGTAGTGGTCTTGTGGAAGCACGGCCAAGAGGAAAAGCAAGGCGCCTTCGTGGGCCACGTTTCATGGTAGCTCGGACCCATCGCTTATCGCAAACAAGGCTTTGAAGACGCCCGCCATGCTGTGATTCCGATCGAAGCTACTTCCGACTCGTATCAACTGGAGCGATCCCAGCACACCGCGCGTCAAGCAATGCGAGGCCACTGCTATGTAACTCTCATTAGGTATTACACCTCTGATGCATTCATGACACCGAAGTAACGTGAGATTTGCATCGGCGACGACACAACTGTCATCCCACCATGCCGTGTACGTAAAATTGATTTTTTTTGTTCAGGTTAACCTCTCTACCGTCGCTCCCCTCCATGTTGACCCCCCCCAAAAGAAGTAAACGGCCTCATCAGTCTGTCAACCCTGCAACTGGGTGCTAGGGATCAACGCTTTACTTCGAAATGAAGCCCCCCTGGTACCATTTCGACGCACTGCATGCGCCGTGCGCTGCGGGGAATGAACTAAGATACTTATTTATGTGCACGACGCAATCGTGAATTTGAACCTCTCTCCAGTACTGCCCCTACTTCCGTAACCGTGCAATCCAAACAAATCAAGCGCGCAAATGAATGCTTTGCTTGGGAGACGCATTTTCCGCCCAACCTGGGCATGCTGTCGTGCGTTGTTGTTGTTGTCTTCACATTAAAAACCGTTCCGATCCCTCTCTACCCAGTACCTTCGTATGTCCGTACTGATGCAACACTCGACGCGGTCGATTCCCGTGGTCACAGGTTAACTTACCCTTTAGAGGTATACTCCAATAATATAGCCCCGAGGGGTTCGCAAGCCAATAGAAATCAACGACAGATATTCTGGAGTCCTCCACTCCTTCTGCGCGCTATGCGAGGTCACAACTGAGACTAGGAGTCACCATCGCAGGCAGGAGAGAAAGAGGTACACCCCCTTGGTTCAATCTTGGTGCACAACGCAAGCAGAGACAAGGCCATCTGGCACAGAAAAAGAGAGAAAAAGAGAAAAAATCAAAAGGAAACAGTAAAAAGAGAGAGAAAACAAAATAAAAAACAGCGAGGACAAAAGGGACCAGGCCGAAAATAGCAAGAAACAAGAGACAGAAAAAGGCACACGGTGGAGAGAACACTAACGAACAAGCAAACACGCAAACATGGCCACCAACCAGCGATACATTGCAATGGTACGTAATCACTAGTGGGGGGGTGGTGCAATGGTGCAGCGGTGGCCGGGGGGAATTGGCCAACAGATATTCAATTCGGCACGTATCGCGCCACTCGGTCCGTCTCTTCTCGTTTGCTTTCTTCCCTCGCCGTCTCGTCCGTCTCCTGCCCCCCTCCCGCCCCATTGGCTGTTGACTTGTGGTTTCGTTTGAGCGCCCGTTGTCGGCTGGCCTCTTGTTCCTTCTCGTGCCAGGAGGTCATGAACCTCTCAGCTCCCTGCAGCACCGCCGCATGCCAGGGTACTCCCCCCTCCACCTTCGCAAGCTTCCGTCCACTTTAACTTCGGCGCCGTGTCTTTCGGTACCGGGATTCCGAGACAACATTGATCGATTTTCGTAGATCCGTGGTCGGCCCCAAATGCCTTCAGGTCGTCGAGCACACACTCACACACTTCGGCCAGTTCTGTTCCTGTCCCCCCCTACGTCGCTTCTCCCCCCCNAACAGATATTCAATTCGGCACGTATCGCGCCACTCGGTCCGTCTCTTCTCGTTTGCTTTCTTCCCTCGCCGTCTCGTCCGTCTCCTGCCCCCCTCCCGCCCCATTGGCTGTTGACTTGTGGTTTCGTTTGAGCGCCCGTTGTCGGCTGGCCTCTTGTTCCTTCTCGTGCCAGGAGGTCATGAACCTCTCAGCTCCCTGCAGCACCGCCGCATGCCAGGGTACTCCCCCCTCCACCTTCGCAAGCTTCCGTCCACTTTAACTTCGGCGCCGTGTCTTTCGGTACCGGGATTCCGAGACAACATTGATCGATTTTCGTAGATCCGTGGTCGGCCCCAAATGCCTTCAGGTCGTCGAGCACACACTCACACACTTCGGCCAGTTCTGTTCCTGTCCCCCCCTACGTCGCTTCTCCCCCCCCGCCAGTTCGCCGAGCATCAGTCGTTTCGGGAGTCGCCCGTCCGGCTGCCTTGCCAATGCTCCCGCGAATAGCAGGCGTCGTTGTTGGATCGTGGCTTCAACGCTCTGGCATTCGAATATACTACACCGAAAGCACCCATACGTTCATGTGCTACCGGTGCACGAGATCAATATTGATCGTCACGAGAACGGCTACGTCCTTTCATACGACAACCAAACGCACGGAACGACTCGATCCGAGGCCTCCTTCTTCGGCTCTGCTGGGAGGAAAGTGGATACACTTCTTCCCACCACCACACTACACCCTCCAAGAAAGCCCTCCTACCGATCGATCGCGTCCAACATCTAACCCATGAAAAAAGGCGCTTTGTTAAGAAAGAGACCCGGACGACGGAGTAGTATTCCAGACTCGCTCCAGCCGCGAACTCGGCAGTTCGCCAACACAGTATTCCGCTGCCTGCCGGTCTGTCGCGTTCCGTACTTCTCTTTACTTCGACGTGCAAGGTCTTCCGCCACTCGCAGCGACACCAAGCAAATGCTCGCAGGAAACAACCACACGTCGATTCGCATGCTTATCAGTTATGAGAAGAACACAAAGACACACACACCTCTTTTTCCTCCCCTTGTACGACCTGTCTTTTTGTTTTCGTTTCTCTATCCGTTTACGACCTCTACTGGACCGTTGTGCGGCACGGAATAGTGCTTCTATTTGATCTGAATCGGTCGGGGGAAAGCAATTGTTCTACTCGATGTATACGTATTCACGAGACACGGAGGAGTATTGACTATGGTACCTCCTGCAATAAAGCGAACACATTCATATGAAACAAGTCGCCAGAACACGAACAGGTGCGCTTCGCGTAGCTCAACACGAGAGACAAGCGAAGAGAGAGCCACACCAAAATAACGAACCCTGTTGGTCGATCTCTACACGCACTGTGTCTACAAGCCAACAAACATCACCAAAAATGACAACCTTAACACATCAAAACATCGTACGTCCAGAGTCCAGAGCCACACATGAACGTGCGGGAAAGGCACCATATCCCCGGTCTAGGTCATAGGTTACTGCCGATCGCGCGGCGGGAGAAAATATACTGGTATGTTTGTCTATGAACGGCTACCTAATAAACGTCATGGAACGAAGCAGAAAAAATACGTCAGCTAGATTTTGATAACAAAATCACAATTCACCAGAGAGCACAACCAACCAACACATGCCCCCGTAGTCGGCTCGAAGGTGACAGAGAGGTGTGTGCGCACAGCTCGAAATCCAAGCTCCGGTTACCGCGCAATGACGCAAGCAAGTCACAATCGGAACTCGTAGGGCGCCTGCCATCACACGATCACAAAATAAATTCTGACGTACCAAAAAACAATATTTAGACCGGCGCGTTCGATATAAAGTACCCCGCAAATATTAACGTTGAGGACCCTAGCACGTCTAATTATATGTTGCGCCACGGAACACCACCAACCGCCGAAGAAAGCATTGTTATCCTGTACCCAGGGTGAAAACCTCACCTCCTCAATGCCACCACCAAGAGCAGCAGCAACAACAACAGGAACGACAGCAAAGCCAGATGCTAACTCTCCGTCACACAGGGAATCCCAACTGAGATACAGAAAAACCTGGCGCCGGCGTTGCAGTCCGTACCACGAGTGTCGCGTTGAGAGTTGAGTGCATGCGACACAGGCAGCGACTCGCGTAGCATTTTGTTCCACAGTTGGACCACAATCACAAGGCAGGTGGTGCCAGTCCATCTTCCTCGCATGATGGAGGCGGTGGCGACACTACCGCACAACACAACACCATTTTCACGCCGGATAAATGACGTGAGAAATCGCCACAAAGGGTTCTCCTCGCCTGAGCGGCACAACCTTCAGCCGGTGGCGGCCAGGCCCTACCTCCGCCGCGAGCAGGGAGCACGACTTGGTCATCAACCCGTCTTCCTCCGCGGGGACCACGGACGTCTCCACGCCGTCTATGCTGAACACCACCCCCCCCGGGTCCGCGAAGTCAACGCGGTCGATGAAGTCGGGCTTGCAGACCACCACGCGGGAGTCCACGACCTTCGTCCCAGCCAGCGCCGCTGCGGCCGCTGCCTCGACGGGTCCTAGCGGTAGCACTCCCACTTGCCCTCCCACGGGCGCCACGGCTGTCACGCCAGCGGCGGCCTCAGCGTGCTCTCCCGCTGCTTCTAGACCATGTATAGCCGCCCCTTCCACTCCTTGGACCCCTGTCGCCACCACCACCGCCGCCGCCGCCGCCGCCGCCGCCGCCGCCTCCGACCTCGTCGTGACCTTATCTATCGCCTTGTCTAAAGGAACCCCACCAGTGAAGAACTCGAACTCGATTGGCCCGGAATCTGCGTCCCCTACGAGCACCCACTTCACGTCTATCGGCTTGTGATAGCCTTCGGGTGCCCGGCCGTTCATCATATAGTCGATTGCTGGACGTGAGACCTGTAGTAGTCATTGATGCATTGTCGCGAGAAAAGCGTATAACACTGAGACATTCTTCGCGTTTCCTGAGCTTTGATGATCGATCTCGGAGCGCAACCCTAACGGGGGACGATTATGGTCCAGGATAACGCAGGATAAACTCAACATTTGCATACATCTCGTCCTTTTCCAGAGAACGACGCACCAGTCACGCTGAACTTGGTCATTTCTCTGTCCCAGACAACAATTTTGCGCTGTAGCAGCAGCTTTGCATGACAGATAATGTGCGCAACATCGTCTGTTTCCGTTGTTTACCGAGACAAATAATGCAGCAAGGACGGCCGATACGCTGCCACGTGCGTACAGTACCCGTGCACCAAGCGCTCCGCAACACCAACGCCCTCTCACCCTACTCAATGCATCCGTTGTCAATACACGTGGAGGCTTTAGGTTCTGCACCTCGTTGAGTGTTACCGCCCAGCGTCCTTCGGAAGGAGACGCCCTCAGCTTCTCCTCGTCACGATTGAATAGACCTACCGGGTTTCCAGGGTCACCGTTTTCGCCCCCCCCCTCCCCCTCGCCATCGGAATCGGACACGACCATGTCCAGGAGCCTAGATCCTTGGTTTCCCTCCAAAGGGTAGTAGGTGTTGGCACATCTATGTACAACAATCAAGGCGCAACGGGGCACGGACAAGCGCGAATTGTTTGGGGTACTGCTGTGGCGGACTGTGGCCGTCTGCCATATCTAATAGAAAGGGCACGGCGGAAGAGCTTTGTTTTGACTACTAAAAAGGGTATCGAACAATAAATCAATTTGCCACCACCAGCGTGTGTGGAACCAAAATCGACAGGCTCGACCACCCCAATCATGCACGAGATTCACCGAAGAAAAAACTTTATAAAACAGCAGTTGTTGCGCAACCCACAGATGCCGCTATCGACGACGACGATGACGCTTGGGTGCTTGCTTCCCATGCATGCGTAGTTCTCGGTGCATCGTTCTCTGGATTCTCCTTATTGTATTTATATATTGTTTGCAAGCATATCGCTCATCAAAGGGGTCGGGGCCGGTTTCCACGCAAGTGGTTGATGCCCAACCGTTTCTTAGCGTTTCCCGTCATTAAACGGAAATCGAGCACCCGCACAACATACGATACCGCAGCAGCACAATTGTATCCCTCCACAAAGATGCAGCAGAGACAGCTGCTGACCCATCTCGCTACAGATTCCCTGCATGTATGTACCACAAGCTACGTAATGCTGGCCTCGTCTACCCGCAGACACCATACCCCTCTACATCGAGGGTCCGGATACAGGCGTGGAAAATGAGAATCTAGGCGACCTACCCTGTTTGTACCTACCTATAGTTGCCGGCCCCCTGACAGTGAGCCCCGGAGCACCACTCCGCCAGCGGCAGCACTCCGCGTCCTCGCCCCCCACCCATGTAAGAACATTCAGTTGGCGGAGGTCTTATCGGAGATTCTTCGCCCTCTCCGCCTCCCCGCCTCGCCTTGTCGTCCGGGCGTCTGACGAACACCTGTGGAGTGTAGGCGTTGATTGTCACGGACGAAGGGGCGTTGAGCAGGGAGGGAGGGCGGGTGGTGAAAGTGAAAGGAAGCTGAGGAGAAACCGCTCCGGAGGGAAAAGGCCGAGTCGAACCATCTGTGTCGAGCCATTTACGCCCTAGCTAACGGGAACACGGTTGTGCACGATGATTCGATGCCAATACTCGAAGAAACGCCGTTATGCTGAGGAACCTCGAGGGTGGCGTGTGGAACAGAGGGGAGCAACGTGGTAGCAGTTGCCATTGTTCATACCTCCATTTTTTCTACGCACAAATGAAACGAAACCCCATCTGGAGGGGATACGACAACGAACGGTGGGAGGATGCCGCCCGCGTGTGTACTTGTTCCGCATTAAGATGGCGCTATGACAGAAATGAGCCTACAAACATACCCACAACCGTAGTCCATCAACATGCCCAAAAAATCTCTAGTCCAAGTAAGTCAGCAACGGGATTTTTTCAGACTTTCTGCAAAAGACGACACATGCACAGCAGTATTGGGTTCTGGGCGAACGGGAAGACTCATCTCATTAGACCGAAGACAGCGTCAACCCCAAAGCGCAGGGAAAGCAAATAATAAAAAAAAAATGAGAGGAAGAAAAAATACCGCAGACATGAAAATGTGCATCAAGTAATAAACTTGGGTTTGTGCAGGACAACTCCAACCCTCACCACTCCACACCTTAAAGCATCCAGTATCGCTTTACTTTGCTAGTTCGACCTTCACCGGGGGCACAACGCGCGTCTCTCTGAACTGTTGTTGTCACGTCCAAATACAGGAGGCCTTTCGTACTGTGCAACTTGAAATGCTGGCTGCTGTCTCTACCTGCACAGGTAATCGGAGGTTATCCTCTCTGTCAGAGTAATAAGAAAATATGCACATGTCACACTCATTCTTGTCGTGTGTCTCATCACGCAATTGCGTTCCTTTAGGACGGTATGTTTTTATCCTCTTACATTCGGATTGTCCCCCGCCAAGCCCACAGCTTCTCGAAGCGCTTTCATGGAAATCGTCCCGTGGTCGCTGCTGCCGCTACCGTCATGTTCTCGAGATCGCTCTTGTTGTGGCTGTTGTCCTTGCTGCTCCTTTTTCTCTCGGAGCTCAGCCGCGGTCAGGCCAGGCGACGCTTGCTCGAGAAGGTCGATGGCCTCAAGGAACAGCTTGCCGTAGTGCATGAAGAGCATGTCTGCCACGAGTTCGTGCCCAGCCGGCGCGGGATGCCACCTGCGTGCGCGTCGCGTTTCGTCGAAAGGACGCAAGAGGTGAAGCGATGACGGTGCTCGCCTAGAAATCATTGGCAACGAGTGTCTACCCCTATCGCCCGAAGAAGATACCGCCAAAACGTCGTCACCCCAGGCAAACCGGCCACGGTAGCGCTCGTCCTTTGCCATTGGCAGCGATGGGATGGTTGCAACATCGTCTACCGGTCGCTTCACTGACCGTACATCACAGAGTACCCACTTCATTGGCCTGGGGTAGTGCTTTCCGGCCGCGTAGAGGACTTCGTGTGCGAACCGCTCGTCTCCGGCAGCGTACTCCAAAATCAGGGAACTGGCGAAGATGTTGTGGACTCCGAAGTCACGGTACGCGTCCATGAGGTTGGGCTTTGGCCCGCCGCAGTAGCCCAGAAACCTTTGGAGGGCAATGGACAGTCCCGGAAACAACGCACATGACACCTTCAGGTACAAACCAAGCGAGGAAAGCAGCTTCGGGAAGCCGTTCCGACTTAACCCAAGACGTCGTCAAAGATAACTAACCTTCCAGGATCGTGCGCAACTGGTTGCCTGCAGACAACTATCTACAGGCTCCGAATTGTGCGCAATAGTTTGATCTATGGAAAACTTCTCTTCGGGGACCGTGCGCACCTGGTTGTTTACGAACAACTAGCCGGTTGCAGTTGTACAGGGTGTGCAGATTCTATTGCTTGATCTACAAGCTACCAACGTGGAAGGTTGTCAGGAAAATTCGCGGACTGACCCGAGGCGGGTCGCTCTTGAAAGCCGGAGTCACCGCGTTGCCGCGAACACACCAGAACGCTTAACACGATCATTTAAACGTCCACGTTCAGTGAGGACCAGGACCTTTCGTCTGTGCCGCGGGCGCACAAAGGACGCGACGAGCAGGTTTGGGGCGGAAAAACTCCCGTGCGACGAGTGCTATCGCTCATGCAACCAGCCCCCCGACGACAGTTTGCTGATTTCCGTATGCATACCGACGATCATTTACGATCCGGCACGTTTCCCGCCGGTGACTCTCGGGACATTCTTCCCACCGCGGGCGTCCGACGGCTTCGCGTGATAGCCCGCGCTATCCACCCGCACCTTCTGTTTCTGTGCTTCAGCAGCTTAAGCCGGCCCTTGGCGCCTTGGTCAGCCTGTGCGTCCAGCACTAGAATCGCTGGCCTCCTGGGAAGGACTAGCGAAGACCTGATGAAGAGCTCCACGGCGGCAGCCGCTTTCTCGCACGCTAACGTGGCGATTTCCATGCCCTAGATATGGATCCAAAAAAAGGGTCAAGACGCACGGCGGTGGTTGGGCAATGTCTCGGGCAAAGCGTAGCGTGTTCGTGCTCTGAGTAGCGATCGCGGTGAGCGCAAGCATACCGGTTTGGATGATGATCCCTACCCCTTCGATGCCGTCAACATTGACTGGTGCAAAGAGGAAGCACGACATTTGGGAAGAGGATGATAACGTTTGGGTATATCAACGGCGTAGAATGACGCGTGCGTGTTCATTCCGAACGCCAGCAGGAAGAGTACCGGAGAACAGTCACATGTTCTTGGCAACACCCAGTAAAACCGTGACGCAGAAAAAAAACGGCGAGAATCGGGTTGCACGCACTCTGGGATTTTTTACAAAGTAAACATAACCTCACAGAAAGACTAACCGTTCGAGATATAACCGCAGTCGAAAGGGATGTGGTGGAAGTCTTTTCAGCAAGTCGATTGAAATCAACTGGAGACTTGGCTTATTTTGAGTTTGTGTAAGCCTAAGACTGAGTTATCAGTAATGCCAGTTGGAGCTAAGAACAAAAGCATCTGCATAGGCGGATACCTTCTTAATTTTATGTGGAATGTGGCCTTCACGGGAACATGGCGCAGTGTCGTTTGACAACTTGCTGTTTTTAGAAAGCACTTCGCTGCTGTTTTAGGCGACTTGAACATAGACCACAGTAAGTACAACTGTAGGACTGTTGCACATGCACACGCACCACAATTTTTTTATGAATTATTTTGAATTTCAAAAGTTGGAGTTGTACTGTAGATTTGGGTGTGGCTGTTTCCCGCTCATTATGCAATCTACAATGTTATGTTGTTCTTCGTGTCGGTGAAACGCGTTGAACGGGAGGGGGATACATAGGACGGTAGGTTAGGAGTGATACACTGGCTTACAGCAATGGAGTTTAGTCTTTATTGTGTGTAACGTATCATCGAGGCAAATGAACAGGCGGCGGTCAGCACAGCAGTAGAGTTGCAGTCAATGTAGGTAGAACTTCCCTGTTTTTCTTCGAACGGTGTGTGTCGAAGAGTGTTGTCGAGACCGTTTGCAGCGTGTCTCAGCCATGTTGTAGAGCATCCTTTCATGAAGGACAGTAGCAGCAGCAACGCGTAGTAGTCGATTTTAGTGGATCTTAATACACGACGAAAGGTACACACTCGTTGTATCCAAGTACACACCTGGGAGTTGGTACGCAGCAGGAGAAGGTGGTATCAACTACGAGGTCAATATTGGTGAGCGGCTTTGCACGAAACTCGATACAGCCTTCCCGCCTTGCCTCAAGTCTTGTCGGAGGAGAGCAATGTATGTGGTACCACGACAGGGATCCGAATGCCGGCTGCTCCGAACACAATGGGAGGTTGGCGGTAGGGATAAAGCGTGAGAATGTGCAAAGGGAGCTCCCCTGACCGTCTGCTCAATGCAGATTTGGAGACCATCGACGTGTTGTATTTTCACCTGATCAAATGACGTCATTTGACGTGCGATTTATTATTTTGAACAAGTTTTCACCTCGTCAGGTGACGTCATTTGATGTGAGATTAGAAGATTTTGCTTCATCAGATTGTTCAAGGGGCACTGGGCACTGTGTTCCCCCTTGTGGATGGTTGCTAGGGCAGTTTGTTGCCTTCGTATCCATTGTTTTTCATCCTGGTGTTGGGTGATAGAAAAAGTATTGATGTTTTTCAGGTTTTATTTTGCACGTTACATTCCTTCCTTCCGGAGAGAACTCTAACAAAACCATTGAGTTCCATTCAACCATCCTCATGTCTCTAAAAGTACGTTCAAATCAATCCTCACATCCTGATTGATACCACAGTGGCTACCTGCGTTGATACCAACATCGTTGGTTATCTGTACTTCCATCGACAAAATACATCCTATCATGTTGCTCCTATCTCCACTCTTATTCTTACAGTTAAACTTCATGAATCCCCCCATGACGAATACGGTACCAAATGTTGTGCTCAACACCATACCAAAACTGTACTCTGACATCTGAAATAAAGGGATTCGGAATATATACAGGTGTTTTCCTGAAGAAAGCTTGATGAAAATTGTGTGACTTAGCAATTAAATAATCCTCCTGATACTGATGTAACAACATGTCCCTCATCAGCTTTGCTGCAGCTAGCTCAAAATATTCAACGCGGGTGCAACGGACGGCAAATCTGCAGAACTGACTACGCAATACGGCATACCTTGAGCGGTGACTTATTTTAGTCTCAATGTGGGGAAACCTACGATACGACTTCAAAGAGCTCATAGTATCTCGTTTATCATACATACGTGCCTGAGAACCTGTCATGTCTTGGACTACTTCCATGTCCAAAAAGTGCGCGCTATGTCCTACTTGTTCTTGGGCCAACTCAATACTGGTAGGAATGAGATTTCCATCTTCATCACTAATCAGGTTGTCGTACATTCCTCCTAAGGTTTCGCTCATGCCCAAGTCTTAAACCATTGGCTTGTGAAGCCAGAGCGACAGTGATGATGTCATCAATGTATCGCTTGTCCTTACCCCGTATTGTTCAATGAACACTCGATGGTAAATAGACTCCCAACCACTGTCTCCACAAGATTGCGCAGCAGCTTTGAACTCTGTGACCATTTCTTTGTTAAACCTTAGCTCATGCATGTCAGCAAATACATTGGCAAACTCAGGTGCAGGTGAGGATCCCATAAATATACCAGAAGATTGGCGATATATATGAGGTCCAAACTGAACGTACCCTTCCGTCAGAACAAACTCAAACCATCGGCATAGACGATCTTTCCCACTAAGAAACGTCTTCCCCTTCTTGTTGTCCTTGTCTACTGGAACTGGTTCCTGCTTGGACCAATGTACATCTTCCTTTTTAACGAGCGGAGAGCTATCCTTAAATACCACACGGAACAGAAATTGAACGAAACTCAGAATCCCGGAGTTGGAAATCACACACCAGATCAATGAATTCTTTCAATTGGACTATAAGGGTGGGCAAGGAATGTTAGCATACATAGCCACAAAATCATACGTTTCTACAGTGTGTGGCGAATAGTCACCAGTGTAACGCGCTATCTGATCTGCCCCGGTCAGAACCTCCAGAATTTCGTCCCACCTTACGTGATCCAGGATCGTTCTGAATCAATTCCGATGGAGCTTCCAACTTCTCTCCACAGTGCATCGTAATATTTCAGCGAAACAAGCATGTGCTATTCGTCCTGCCCCTTCCGTAGTAGTAGCACAGCATGTGGTTGTACTTCGACAAGCTACCATATCTTTATGAAGTTTCGGCAGCAGGTATCTGGTAGGTTGTTTATGGGTTTTCCTAGACTTTCGTCTTGTCGTGTTTGGGATCTGGAAAATTCTTTAGGGGTCGGTAGATGTTCATCTTCCAGAAATTTTAGTTGCCGTGTGGTGATGGTTTCCTTCATTTCTTCAAATGTGCCCCCAGTCATTTTTTCGTATCCCTCCCCATTAACTTCCGTTTACGCTAGTCTAATATAACAAGCCTTACACATAACACAAATACAGTTTGCAGCCTTATCGACTCTAGTAAACACTACTTGTTTCTGCAGTACTTTGAACGCTTTCTGAGCCTCTCGGAAGTCGATATGGCCCGTGTGCGGCAGATAGTCCGGGCCTTCTACGGCGGAGTCTAGTTGTTCAGCAACTTTATCCAAAACTGTAGAAAGCCATTCCTGATTGACTTCCTCCCCGTCCTCCGCAAAGAGCTGTGCGGCATACTCAAATCGAAAACCAGACTGCAAAGTCAAAACTGGATTTTTTGTTGCTACCGGGAGGGGCACACGCTGGGGCAAGGCTCCAACAATATTGTACGATGGTGCCATGTATGAACTAACCGATTTCTTGACTGTTGTGCCCCGCATTTCGTACACGAATAAAAGCGACAGGCGGCCAGGCCGCGCAAGGCAGGACACATGACACCATGAAAATGAGGGATAACGGCTGGAACGTAAAAATGAAAAGTGAACAAATTTGAAGAATTTCTTTGGGTCGTTTCGAAAGCGGCGAACGATGCGCGGAGGGAAGGATTCCTGATTGCGCGCTATGCATAGAAATATCTGAAGTAGGAGGCTTCGCCAACATATGCTGCGTTCACACTAAACTAGTGGGACATAATGCCCACAAGGTATCAAGGGGATGGTTTTCTCCTATCGAACAGCGATGAAAAACGGCGAGGCTATAGCGGTTTGTATCGATTTCAACCCGCGTTGTGATGGCCAGGAGACGTGGGCGTGCCATGTATCCTCTCGTCCGTACGCGCAGCTTTGGGGCGGACGAGTCAGCTGAAGAATTAATTTGTCTTCGGTTGTTGACCGGTCGCTCACTCAGCCAGAATTGCTAATGAGTCCGCCGAGAAGTGGGATCCCGAAATAAGCACAGATGGTCCGATAGATAGATGGCATGGTAGAGCTCCGAAGCGTATTCTACTTGATTATGGCACTCACGAAGGACCAAGACACGATATCGGCATCCAACCCAGCGTGGGCGTCGACGCAGTAGCTGTACGGCGCAGCCCTTGTGTTCCCCATGGCGACGTTGATGGCCGTGTACCTTTGGGGTTGAGTGCAAAGAGGGATCGGTAGGGAGATCGGCAACGAGCAATTCAAGCGAAAACTCGGACGAAAGGTATCAGATCAAAGAGATGAAAGGTTGGACGTGGTACAATAGAAGATCTACACGCTGCTGTCGATTGTTTACATATTTTCGGGGTGACACGAGCTGGCACGGCGCTGTTGTTGAATCGAGCGGCATGCACCATGTGCCACATACCATACACATCCTACGTGACTTCAGCTACAGGCATCACACCCATATGCCACGTCACCATCAGCGGCCAAGCCAAGCGTCGTTGCTTTGTGACCACACCTTGGACGATAAGTCAAAAACTATCTAGATAAGGATAAGTTCCTATCGCCGTGTTGTCTTATCGGTCCAATTTGATAGGGTTTGATACACCCACGGGGTGCATATTGGTGCATCCTGACCGGCTGCGGCAGGAATTTCCAGCACCTGTTTACGGCCTCGAAGGAATGCGATAGGTTTCTGCCAAAGCCTATCGTAGCGCGCAATTTTTATCGATAACTTTTAAGGACAGCCTATTGGTTGAGCAACAGCCTGCGGTGTACGTGGTAGTCCGCCTATCGTTCAGCACAATTGTTATCGATATGCATTTGCCACTTCCCTTCTAATGAAAAGATAAGTATCGATTGCCGACTGCCCAATCCCTTCGCGTGACATGATGGCTATCGACAGATTGTTCACCGGCATATCGTACCGGTGAACAACCCATCGACAATCTCACATGTCAGTCACATACATGAACAATATCACCTACCACCTACCACGCATATGCAGCCGCGATTATCACATCGGATCCGGGCCAACTGGCCAACAGATTCAAAAAGATTCGCCGAGCGATGGGATAATGGGCAAATCTTACATAATTCAAAAAAAGTTTCGCCGACCGCGATGGGATAATCGGAAAATCAGCGAAGTGCGGTAATTTTTGCCGAACAATCACACGAAAAAAGTTTTGCCGGACAGGCGATGTCGCGTGGTCGGGTTAGTCCTGCATAAAAATTACAAAAAACATCTCTTGGAATTTGGAGTCTTCCAATCTTGATTTTTCGATCCGTTGGGCAAGTAGCGGGGCGATGATTCCCACCGCCCTCAACCCTATCACACCATCACACATTTCCACACGCGATGGGCGATCGAGGTGATGATGGCCACGAGTCTGGTCCGCAGCAACGCACCACGCCATCTCCACAGCCTAGTGCGCAGCAACAATCGATCGCCAGCTTTCTCAATACCGGCTCGGGCGGCGGCGGCGGCGCCTCGGGCGGCGCTTCGGGCAGCGGCGGCGGCGGAGATGGCCGCGGCCCGGAACCGCAAGCCTCCGCACCACAGGAGACTGATGTACAAAAATTGCAGTTTCCCGCACAAGTACCGGCCGATGTGAAGGCTGCTGTCCTCGTCTACCGGCCGCCGGATGGATATGCCATCAGCGCCATCCACAACGTCAAGGGCAACCCGAGCTTTATTTCCTTTTGGGGAGTGCGGATCCACACCACCCACACCACATCGGCGGGAACGAAGAAAAGGAAGAACTTCTACAAGTGTATGGCCAACCATACGTGCCGCTCTAGCGTCAAACTACTGGCTTTGACGGGGTCGACCACGGGAGCCACGGAGCACTTGAAGAAGGTGCATGAGATCGAGAGTCCTTCCAGCGCCGACGATAAGAAGAAGTAAGTGCGTTCGTTTCGATATTGGTTTTCATGCTGTCGTAAAGATGTAAGATACAACAAACAGCAGTAGTAGTACAGATTTTACATGTATGTGTCGGGGAACCGCCGGGGGAATCTTGTGTTTCAACACCCGAGTTCTTATTGTGTGGTCGCCACGGTCATCGGTGTGTCTTGTGTCTTGTGAATGCGTTGGCCGTACTAAGGGAGAGCTACAATCGCTTGAGTTGCTGCGGAGTTACGCTGAAACGAACACGCGCCGATCGTCCTCTGCTTATCATCTTGCTTGCAAAATATAATGCAGGAAGCAGGAGACGTTGGACAAGATCGACCAGGTCAAGCAGAGCAAAATCTACAACTCCGACAAGGCTCGCCACAACATGCTCGGCTTCACGAAAGCATTCGTCGTCTACAGCGCCTGCTCTTTCAGGCTGGTAGAGCAAGAGCCAATCCGCCATTGCCTCGGAGTGATGGTCCCGAAGGATGAGCTCGAACCGAACCGTCTCAACAACAAATCGGTAAGTCTATTGAGTTCATGAGTCTCTGGGGGTCGTGTGTGGTGGTGGGTGGTGTAGTGTGGTGTGCTGCGGACCAAAAGTGCCCCTTATACCTTGGATGATAAGGCTAAGAATAGGATCGATCGCCGGCGATAGGGTAGGTTTTACGACCTATCGATAGGAATTGCCGCCCGCAATAGGTACTAGACACCGCTCGTCGATGCCTATTGAAGAAAGAGATAGCATTCGGAGACACTTGTCGATATCCTATGGTGTGGATCAACGTAGCAGCTCACACGGTGATCAACAGCTATCACCGGAGAAAACAGGGTGCGGCGAAACATCTCGGTCGGTTGTTGTGCGTTCAATAGGGTCTTATGGCTGGTCATCAACACCCATCGTAGGAAACCAATCGCTTGGCAAAGAAACGGTCGACGCTGATCGCACCCCTCGATGCTCATTCTAATTGACATGTCGATCCCCATCAGTCGACAACGATCCCCATCAGTCGAGAACAATAAGATCCCATCACCCATCACCTGGAATCCTGTCATCGTTCAAGTGTTTAGGCTCATCGCATTAATACACGTGATCACAGATGCGCCCCCGGCATTGTAGGCGGGTGTGGGCTTTTTGCTTCTCGGCTGGTCGGCGCTACCCTATCTTCCCTTACTCCATGTGATATCTGTTTTTTTTTCTACTTTATATTTTCCCGTGTACTCTAGTTTTTGATGTACTGCTGTAGCGCCAGCGAGCAGGCCCCTCGGGGCCCAGTTTGTTTTTCTATCGCAGGGCACGCATATGATGCACTGCCCCACTCGATCACCCTGATTGCGTACAAAAAAAACACATTATTATTTGAGAATATGTTTGACGTTTATTTTTTGGTCTTGGTAAACAGAAGTGCGTTTACTCCGTAATATATTATATATATATATTTTTTTATTATTTTTGTTGTTTTGCAATGCATACAAAAATACTATGTGTACTTCGTATAAGTTTTTTATTTTTTTATTTTTTGGTTTTGGTCAACAATACTACGAAGATATTGTATGTAAGTTTTGTTTTTTTTTTGGTTGAATTTAATTATTTTTTTGTGCTTTTGGAGGACAAGTTTTGCGTTTTTGGCCCTTGTTCTTTTATTTGTTTCTTCTGCGGCGTTGAAAGTGCCCAGTTCTTGTGACGACGGGCTCCCACGCATGTATTGGGATATATAGCTCATGTGAGATTTCAAAATAAATAAAAAAATAAAATAAAAAATAAATAACGCACAATCACACGCGCGAGCAACACAGCTATCTCTGTAGACTCTTCAATGTGGTTGTCACGTTCACTGCCGTGCTGTGCTCTGCAGCCCCTCCCTCCCTCCCTCCCTCCTATCCTTCAGCACCACACGCCACCACCATGGGCTTGCCTTGTCCATCACCTCCGTTCAAGAATGGATGGGCGACGTTGCGTTAGGCAGCAAAATCAACCCACAAGAAGCTATTGGGCCTTTCGGGCATCGTTGTTTGTTTTCTCCCCCCCCCCCCACACCCCTGCTGCTTCTTGTGTGATCGCGGGCTGGGCTAGAACAGTCTCTTGGTAACACAATTTAATGCTGCTGTTTTGTTGCACGGGCTCATCGTGTTCGTGGCAGGTGAAGAAGATGATCGTTGAGATGTACAACGCCACACTGAAGGTTGTCAACAAGGACTTGCAGCGACAGCTTGCCCTTGCGATCATCCCGATCTTGTACGCGAACTGTGACATTTGGACAACCAAAGTGTCCGGAGAGAAGTTTATCGGTGAGATATTTACAATGTGTTTAGCATGATGTTCTCCGAATGGTTGGTGCTGCCCTGGTACATGGGAAGGATAAAAGCTGCATTTTTTTCACGATTTTTTCAAGACCAACTAGCTGCAGCGACGTTGTTCTGTAGGACGTGCTGAGTGTGGAATTCATCTGTATCGAATCACTTACCCCCGCGTTCGGTAGGCGTGTTAGGCAGGATGGGGGAATTTGTGCCTTCCCTAAATATTTCTTCTAGTCGCCTTTCGGCACGAGGTGTGTACACAAACCGGACAGAGTCTGCAATAGATTTGTGTTGCAACTACTTCGCACGTTTCAACGGCGCTCAAACCACCCTTCCCGCGCCAAATCTCCCTATGATGGTGCTGAATTTCGTGTCAACTCTCGACGCAGCTGTGCGCATCTTCTACATCGACTCGAGCGGGTTTCTGAGGACACACTTGTTGGCGGTGAAGCTTTTCCGGCCGGCTCCGTCGCTCGGGAAGGTCACTGGCAAGGTGGTGCTGAAGTGGTTCCTGCAGGTGCTGGGCCAGCACGGGATACCGATCGAGCGCTTGGCCGGCGCCGTGACGGACGGCGGGGGTGACGTCCGGACCGGAATCGGCCAGGTAGCTACGCGGGCGTGGTGTGGGCCGCACATGCTCAACCGCGTCATCATCGACGGCACCGGCATGGCCAACACAGCAAACCAGTCCAAGAATCTGTCGTGCCGCGGCTTGATGGAGATCTGCAAGAAGGTCGTCCAACATGTCAACAGATCTCAGGGGTTCAAGGTGAAGCGACTCTCTATTTGTCGGGTTGCACAACTCTGCTTGTACTGCTTCAGGGTTATGACTCAGGGTTAGGTAGAAGCCTTGCGATATTCTTCACTTTCCCTATTCTCATCGGTTCCCTTTCAACCCGCCATGCCGAAATACCGATGTGCGTTGTTGGCGATGCCCCGCTTTGAATGGCAGATCGAACTCGAGGACACGCTCGAGAAGGCGTCCGACGGCAAGCGTTGGAAGGCGAAGCTCTCACAAGCGGTGTCCCAGCGCTGGATCAGCCTGTGCAAGATGTTGCTCCGCATCCTAGAGCAATGGGTCGCCATCGACAAGGTCTACGCCAGCAACCGCGAGAAATTCCCTTTGGGAGATCTGCGCCGTGAGGTCAGCAGGGTCCATGTGTTCGGAGGCTTGGAATTTTTGTTTTTTCTCGTATTGTTTTTCGGGAAAAGGTGGCCCGGGCTCTTGCTGTGTCCGCTAGAAACCAAGTACACCAGCTTATGTAGGAGGAGATGACTTCGTATCACGCATCAAAGTGTGTTGCTTTCGAGGTCAATGACTCCCACGTTCCCGCTCACGTGGTATTCAAGCTGTGTGGTGTGTATGTTGCCCTTTTGGGTTTTGGTAGGCGCGGTGGGGGAGCGCCCCCGGGAAAAATTATGCTGAAGACGAACGCGAGGCACATGATTCCATACCGCTGAAGAATATGCTGTTGCCCTCCTCGTTGCACGGTACGTGCCGCGTCGCATTTAAAAAGCCACTTTCTCCCCCCGTCTCTATATTTTATCCCTTCTCAGATGGAGGAAGTTTACAGCATGCTGAGCGAGTTCAAGGCCGTTATCGAGTACTCCCAGACGACGCACGAGGCCACTGCGCAGAAGGCGCTGGAGATGACTGTGGATCTTCTCACCTACACCCTCGACCCCGCGGAGCGTCTCCGAGTGTACCACGTCGTTTCTATCGGAGCGGAGGGCGACACCACCAAGTACGACGACATCGAGCACGAAGACCTCACGCCGATTGGCCGCAACACACGTGTCGCGTTGAGGAAAGCACTTGTGGCACGGTTTTTGCCGCGCTACGGCCGCGAGCTTGACGCTGGCGGCCACCTCTTTGACCGCACGATGCTTCTCAGTCCAAACCAGAGGAAGCTGAGGTACGTGGACGCTCTGCGCTCTTCAGCTGCCAAGGAGGGCGACATGCGGTCCTCTAGCGCCATCAAGGCGAAGATCAAGGAGGAGGTGACCGACCTCCTTGTCGCGGCCATCGAAGCGATTAGAGCAACGGCACCATCGGACGGGGGGGTGGAGAGCAGTGCGGGAGGGGGGCAACCGCAGGCCAAGCGGGCTAAAACCACCTCTACCGCAGCGTCCAGCGCCTCCGGTGACGGAAACGATGACCACCGGCGCCGGCGGCGCCGATTTTTAGACGACGACGATGAAGGCAGCGACAGCGACATGGACGCGACTCCGGTGGAGGAAGACCCCAGGAAGGAAGCGGAGGCCATGATGAAGGAGTGGCTCGCAGCTCAGGTGACAATTGCATTTGCGCGTGGGTTGTGGTTGTGCGGTCCGCCTCGGCGACACAGCTTGTATGCGGAACTACGGTGCCCCAGGTGGCAGTTGTGTGAGGAGTTGGTGATAATGATTGAAGCAAGTTCAGACCAGCCCCTCTCACCCACCCGTACGTGGTGGTGCCCATCGGCTTCATGTAAACACAAACGAAAACAAGCTTTCCACATACATGTTCAACAGGCGCGGCCGTGAAACCTTCTGTCTCGGTGCTTCAAAAGCACTGCTCTCTACGTGTTTTCCATCTTGTGGCTCGGTGAAATAGAAATCATATGGTTTGACTTGCACTCAAATACCCGAGTTGAGTGCCTATTTGTTTGTAAGAAATTCCATCTCTATTTCTCAGGAGGGCATCGACCCTGGTTTGTTCAACAGACGTCTCGATAGTATTTTTCTGTTGCGATCAATCCACGGGTTTGACTTGAAGCGCGACGGCCGTCTCCGCACTTTTATGCCCCAAGATTCAACGCTCACGATCAATGTTTTCGCACCCATGCAGATTCCACCAGAAGAGCGGACGGAGAACGGAGCAGAATACTGGCGCCTTCACGGCAAGAAACACCCCTTCGCTCTCCGATTGGTCGCGCAGGCGGTGTACGGCGTCCCTGCCTCAGCGGGTGTGGTGGAGCGAGATTTTAGCATCGCGGACTTGTTCATGCCCCGCAAGCGTGCCTCGCTTGATCCAGCGTACTTGGAGATGCAGCTCTACCTGCGAGCGCACTTCGACAGCATCCCCATGGACATCCCCAAGCTGGACGACGCTTCCGTGGCGGCCGCCATCCCGGACCGTTTCAGGGACCCACAGGCCGTCGAAGAGGTGCGGGTGTTGGACTTCACCGAGGAGGAGAAGGAGGTGGGGGTTTTCGACTTCGTGCCGGATGAGGAGGGGGACTTCGTGCCGGATGAGGAGGGGGAGGACGCCGAGGGCCCCGAGCCGAACGTGCCCGTGCCCCCTGTCGGAGAAGTGGGGGGGGGGGTGGCTCCAGCGGCTGGAGACGGGCAATCCACCACCAACTAGACACATTCCACCAGTTTTGCGCTCAAAGCACGTGGTTCAGGGTTTATTTTTTCTCTCTACGGAAGGGTACCATTTGTACCACGCCATGGACGATTGGATAGACGATAGGCCTTAAAGACTTGTGGCTGTGCTTGGTATCTGCATTTTTTCGAGGTTGCTCGCGTTGAAATGCGCTAAAGCTCTAAAGAGTCCAAGGTCACTTGGCACGTCGGTGGTGTTACGATAAGCGGTTTCTTGTTTCTTGTCGAAAATCCGCCTCTATCCGATCCGAAGCTATCAACAAGCGGGCGCCCATATCGCCATCACGAATAGTTACTGATAAGCAGGCACCTAACATATCGCCAGCACCAATAGTAACCGACAAGCAGGCGCCCAACATATCGCCAGCACCAATAGCTATCGATATGTGCGAGTCGAACTTATCGCTTTGTCAATCGATGTCGAACCCCAACCCGATATATCGAGGGCGGCAATGCCTATCGATGTGGACGTTGTTTTATGATTGACCTCTGCGACAGGCATCGATAAATTTGGCCGCATCTTACTGGTCATAATGATGCCCATCGATGTGTTCGCGTGAAACCTATCGTCCAGAACGAAACAAGCCGATCACTTAGCTCCCAGCCCATCTAGAGTCGACAACAGGCATCGATGCGCGCTTCCAAAATCTTATCGCGCCCACCAATCTCCATCGATATGACTTGAATAAAAGGAGCATATTCCGTGATAATTATCGATGTGTAGATCTCTCATCTTATCTAGGACTAAAATTCATATCGATTTGCTGATGGTTCAGCTATCGGTGGGGCGATAAGGCCTATCGTCTATCCAATCGTCCATGGTGTGCTGGTTTGTACATGACAATCCATAAGAAAGCAACGTTCATGCTTTTGGTATCGCTATGGCTCTTGCCACACGAGACACGCAAGGCGATCGCAAACAAGCCACGGTGAAGCGTGCTCTACCCAGTGAGCGCGTGTACAGACTCCGTTCAAAACACATATCACAAGCTTGGTTTGGAAATCTCACCCTACTCCTGCAGCAGCCATCAGCCGGCCCATGGTCGCATTGAGAAGAATGGGGTAGCTTTGCTCGTACAGGCAGTCGTGTCCGGCCGCAATTGAATTGCCTGTACACAAGTCGCCAGAGAAGTGCCCAGGTTCAGTTCAGGCACAGCGTACCATGGAATGTCATACGCGACGCTCCAGACTCGAAGCACCCTGACATTGATGCGGTAGACTGCACAGCAGCTGTCCTACTATTTGACACCTGTTTGCTGATGTTCGCGGTACAGCTCCTGAGTCCTTGTACAGCAAGGTTCCCGTGGGCCCAATGGGACCAAACAAGGCAGCTTGTCAAGCGGATCGGTTACAACATCGACCGAGACCGAAGGATTCCCTTCACAGTACATGGTACATGGCAACATGGGGAACCAGCACCCCCCTACAGCCTTTCAGAAGTCATAGCACACCCCCTGCACCGATTTTCAAATCTCGATTTCTCAACAGTAGAAAGAGTCACAGCGCCGAAAACGGTGGGGTTGAAGCTGTCTCGTCGAGAGCTGTCTGAAAATGAATTGTTTCATTTATGCATACTCCTCGTTGTGGCGTAATCGAGCTTTGAAAATTGGTCCAGGGGGTGTGTTATCTTGTGCCATACACTATACGCTCCGCAGTCCTCTCTCTCTTTCTCTATCTCACTCTCGGTATTTCTGTCTCCCATTACTCTCGCTTGGATATGCACGTTGCTGCAAAAGCTACTGGGATTCTGTTCACGAGCGGGCGATTGTCACGGATCACTAGTAGAGCACTGGACGGCATCACAGGCTATGCATAGCACTGACAACGAAGAGCAAGGCACCTCACGATCAAACGAACGTCACCACGACAACCGAACAAACTCGAGACCGTTAGCCAGCAGCTTGAGTATCCAAGCTATCCGCTCTTCTACTGTTATAGGCAACTCTCCCAGGGGCCCTCTCAGTCTGTCTGCCTGCCCGTCTGTCCCCCCCGCCTTCTCTCCCCCTCCCTCTACATAATGAGCAAGCCTGTTTCCCTCGCCTGTGAAAACTGCCACGAAACTATCCTGCTCCAGAACCGCGTTAAGCATCTTGTCCTTCACCACCTGTCCCCCGTCTGCTCCCCATGCCATGGCATCAGAGAACAGCGTGTCTTCGTACTCGGCACCCCATCGTTTCTGTCCCGAGAAACACAAGCATGCTGTGAATATCTTAGTCACTCAAACGTGGGACGTGGTCGGGAGTTTGAAACACTTCATGAAATCATTGCCTATTTCGCCGTTGGAGGGGTCTGTCTTGACATGTTCCTACTTCTGCGGCATGCTATTCTTCTTCGTTGTTTGTCGGGCAGCCCTTGGCCTCCGTCATATCCTTTACAGTCAGCAGACCTGTCGCGGAACCGCAGTGCGGAAGACACGACAATCGAGAGAGGAAGGTAGAAAATGGCCACACGCAGACTCGAGACGGCGAGTGTTGCCAATGAGTGGGCAGATTATACTACTTGGTAGCCGACTCACATTTACCCACTACGTGTTGAATGGTGTGTGTTTCTGAGAGCTAGTTCGTACAAGTATATGTTACCATGTTCATTTTGGTAATGGTTTGCCAGAAGAGGGTGCACACATACGATCTTTGGGTCTAGTTAAACTGTGGCGCAAGGAATTGCTCCTCGTCAGTTGGACCGGCGGGTGCTCACAGAGCCGGGCAGCTCATCAATTATGTAAAGACGAAGATCCGACATCAGTTTCGTTGTGATACAGGAAGGCGAGTTCTGCCCGATGTTTGCCTATTGGGGTTCGTAGTTCCGAGGGCCATGCTACGAATGGTCGCAATATAGTCTTTAGGTTTTAGTCTAGGGGTTCCTAACCGACCTTACAAAAGTAAAAAAGAGTGCTCAAGTTGCTCAAGTTCTTAATTTCGATTTTCGACTCCATTCCTTAACTCCTGGGTTCTGAAAGTGCGGGCGCGTTCGGTATTTATTTGCATGAAGCTTGCGGGGGACATGTCAGAGCACGCAAGCAGAAAGACTTGTATACTGCTGTAATCCAACGGAGAGTAACCTTTTCAACAGGATCCGTCCACGCATCTAAAAGCTCTCCCCGCACAAAACAACTCCATACATGGCCATATGTAGCCTACATGTAGCCTACAGCAGTACTGCAGAGTACATGACGGAATTACGCCTTGTTGGTGCGGTGCGGTTCGTGTTCTCCCCACGTGTTCTCCCTCATGTTGCGAAAAGAGGTGAAAACATGTGCACGAAGAAATATGATTTTGACGCTGCTGCTGCTGCTACTGCGCGTATCATACTACCACTGCTCCTGCTGCTGCTGCTGCTGCTGCTGCTGCTGCTGTTTTCCCGCCTTCGGCATCTATTTGCAGCAGTTCCAGCAGTGTGGCGAAAAACATTGCAACATGGTTCATCTCTTGGTCTGCCTGGATTGGTCGGTCTTTTGTAGTACTGCTGTGAAGCCTTTCACGGTATGCGTGCGCCCGCCGCCGCTGTGACCGCTGTGCGTACATGCACTTCAGGCTTCGTTTTTTTTTCGCATGCGCGGGGTGCGCACAGCACAGCAGAATAGTAATGGTGCAGCTTGATTACAGGATACGCATTCGGCGGTAGCTGGGTGTACAGCGTACTACTGCTGCTGTTGTCTGCCGGACGAGTGCTTACAACTCTGGCGTACACAGATGCTGTAGGTTGGTGCCTTGGCTGTTGTAGGTTCAAGGCTGGTTTGCTGGTGTGCTGGTGTGCCAGTCAGGACACAGCAGTACACCACTGCCTACTTCGGCGCTTTTTGTGCCAAAGCGAGGAGCTCTCACTAGCATGCATACTGCTGTCGTGCTGTTGTTGTTTTCTTCTCATTAATCTAGTACTACATGAAGGTTGCGCCGTCTCCTCTCGCTCGGGATTTCCACATCACACAGTCTTTGATCCGAAGGATAGCTTAGCCTCCCCCATGCTGCCCCCTCACGGGGGCCCAGTTCATGACAGATAAAAGTTAACACAAAACACTGAGACTGACGTTCTCTCATTGGTCAGCCGGTTAGCGAGGTCGGTGCTAATAATAAATACCACACACACACCTATGTGGCAAATAGAAGTGTTTTTTCCAACTTTGTTTTGTGTTTTCAACCGCACTGAGACTGACGTCTTTTCATTGGTCTGCCGGTCAGGGCGGTCGATGCGAAAAATAACACGCCAGGATGAAAGTATAATAGTCAAGACACACACACCACGATGTTTGCCCGACAGGAAATGAGAACTTTCCTTCTGCATGGTTGCATGGTGTTCGATTCTGTGCGAGCACAGGATACCTGCTGCTGTTTTTCTGTCTTGCGCGCGATGCATCTACAGGGAGAGTGGGTGCTGCACACCTCCCACATGTTCGTATGTACATGTTGCATGCGTTGGGTGAAGCAAGACCCTGTCGTACAGCAAAGCAGTGCCGCCGTTCGCGACAAGCCAACAATTGCAACTTGAAGCCGTTGCTGTTTTTCGTAGACCTAGTCTATGCGTATCTCGCGGCCATTGCTACATACCAGCATCCGCACAACCGCTACAGCACATGCCAATAGACGATGATGGCGTGCAAAGCCCCAACGACCGCGGACCAGCAAGGTAAGGAACAAAACGGTTTCGCAGTTCGGACAGAGGAATTGGCATACACCCGCCCGTCATGCGACCTTATACGGATGCAACGATGGAATATGCACAGCTGCTGAAGAACACAGCTGCTACTACAGCGGTCTAAAGCAGTAGACAAACGCACCAATATCCCTGCAGACATGTCTTCGTAGACCGCCCGCACGTTTCCTGCTACGGTGCCCTCAGACGGCGCCTCCACCCGGTGCCTGTGCTCCGGCACAATCGCGTAATAAGGCGCCTCGCACCCTGCCGTGTGTTCCCCATCATCATCATGATGGTCAGAATCCCACTCCGATGACGATGCTGGATGCAGCAAGTTCGATAGCGGGCTGA